TTTTTTCATATGTGGAAAGGTCCGATTCGCAGCCCAAATCTTGTGAGGGTTTTCGTGGATTTCTTCAGTATATTCGATGCTGCATTGTTGGGCGCCGTCAGGAGAGCAAGTCAGTTATCTAACCCAAAATAATTTCTGGGAACAGGAATTTTTAAGTACACCGAAGGCTAATACCGAAAATTCGAAGTATTAAAAAATACTTATCCCTCTATCCTGAATATACTAGAGTGACCAGTAAAAGTGATTCTAAACGGTTTAAAGGTAAAAGTACCATCTTCTGAGATATAGTACTATGGAGTTCGGTAGAAATCCACGGAAATTTCAGAGGAAAGAATTTCCTCTATCTTCTACGTTGAAGAATAAGCCAAGTAAATAACCAGCAATAAGCAGACGACAAGCAGACGGATGAAGGCGGTATTTTCCTCCGAACCCTCGGTGAACTTCTACTCAGATGACACTACTGTCTAGTAGCAACCGCTGTGAGAACCTAAAATCTAACGTTGATTAAATGTAACTTTGTAAGCAAAGTTTTGGCTGCATCCTTCCTGAATTCCCGGAAACAATCCTAACGGCGTCTATGGTTATGTATTCTGAACTAATGACAACGCCGTTAAATAAACTATGAATACATAAATAGAATTCGGATCGTGTTATTTTCTTTTTGAAAACAAAGAACCTTTAACAAACCCATTTTTTTTATTTCAGACTTACTAAAGAAGGTTACTAAGACAGGCAGTTTCCACAGACCAGATCCGTTCTGGAGAAGCTGACTAGTGCAGAGCTGCTCAAGAAAATACCTGTCTTTTATGTAACCAGAAGGTTCATTAACGTGTTCAAAACCATTGGACCCTATACTGAACCGGTTGAGCCCAGTCCAGATCTCGCAGTCATTTCTTGTGGATCAGTTTTAATATAATGCTCTTTAATGGAACCTGAAGGTTCATAAGAGCCTACCACTGATCCCTACAGGGAGCCAGTTCAATCCATTCCACACCCTCAAACACTATTTCAAGACACATCTTAATATTATAGCTTACACACCCGTTACTATGCAACGACAGCAAGATGGGCGGATATACCAGAGCCGTTTCTGAGCAACGGCTCGGTAAACACTTTACCGTTGCTACGCAGCAGATTTTTAATAATGCAAGAGTTTGACGCAACAATAGAAGATATGTTTCCTATGTTGTTCGTACCGAAATGTTATAAGCGAGGGAAAAAGTAAGTTGATAGTTCTGTACGGGAGTCTGTTAGGAGAGAACGTGAGCGCGGGAAGCTGAATAATCTCCACTGTTAGAAGCCATTTTCAGAGAACGGCTGATGATGACACAGCATACTGGAGAAGGCTTAGCGAGTGCTGTGGTGATATGTGAATAATGGAGATCAGCGGTGGCTCTGTTCATTACTTGTACTTACGAGTCGTGTGTAGAAGTGGTCAATGCATCGAGTCACCAATTCAAACCCCGTTTATAGTCACGCCCTACACGTGAAAACTGATCCTTTTATGGAACGGAATGTTCATTGTCATATTCAGAATAGCCAGCCATTCCAATTCCGAGCCATTTGAATCCAATCAGCACCCTCACGCACTACTTATTTAGTTTCATTTTCATATTATGTTCTACTTATGGAACTTCAAATTCCATTACCATATCTACAGCACCCCACCACTAAACAATTCATTGAGCGAAATGGGGGAAACAGTGTTGAAAATTTTGTATTTTTCTCCACCACTTCCAATTAAATTCCATCTACTCCGCGAACAAGGCTACGTCATACTTTGTACAGGCACCCTTACGGAAGAGAATCCATGGGGTGTGTGTATTTGAATTTTCCACCCGCATATGAATACCGGAAGTGAGATTTAAATAGACTGCTGCAAATTTGTGAAGATGTGTGCAGGCCCGCTTCCCGTTCGTAGAGTGGGTGCAGTGTAGGAATTTCTTGACCAGCCGAGTGATAACCGGTTTCTATAGAAGGGCAACCAACAAGCGAATGGCTTCTTTACCGCAATTAATTGCAAATCTTGTATCTGATGTTAAAGCTATTTAGAGAGAAATTTGTAATAAAAAATTGAGAAACAAGGGAACGGTAAATGAGCGGAAGGGTCGGGAGATATTCTCGAAAAAGGAAACCTGTCTACAAGCAACTTGGTCAACCATAAATCCTACATGAACTCCCCTGGCCTTGAACTTACGTCCGCAATTATTAAGAATGCGAATGCTTTTCTAGCTGCTGTTCATCCCCGCCAACACATAGCTCAGCAGACTGTATGGTCTTCAGCACAGACGCTAAAACATTTCGTAATCAGGACAGACTAAATTTACGTTATATCAGGGTTCATGTGTGATGTGACGCCATGCAGTCTTGTAGAAATTTACTGCCGATTCGACGGAACATATTGTGTTTACTCTTTGCTAGTAAAGACCGTTACCTTTTGCTTCTTGGTCTTTGCTTTCTTGACTTAATCTTCAAACTTTTAAAACGGAAGCAGCATATTCCTCCGAAACATTGGAAAATTTCTACCAGATTACACGACGTCATGTCCCACTGTTCACGTTGAATCTACTGTGTTATTCTTGATAAGTAAACGGGCATCTGGTGTAGTTCAGTCTACAGAAAAGCGCGACGACCTAACTGCCTTCATCCCTAGGCAACAATATACGGTTTAATGCATAAAGAGTTTTATGTTCATAAGATTTATCATCATACAGAATCGTGGCAGTAAACAGCAGAAAAGTTGTGTGATGTCGCATTCTGCTGTGTTTTAAAACAAAATTTATTGTGCCTGTTTCGCTGGTATTTTCCGCACGATACCATCTGTGTCGGTTAATACCTTGAATGTTTTGGTATTTATTAGTGCACGTTCCGTCGAAGATGAGGAGAAAACATTTCCTCTCTTAGTCATTTTTATCATCTTTATCTTCTTCCCACATTTCTCCTCTATTACCTTCCCATCCGTGTTATTTATCCGTCACATTAACGCTCTTCTACCCCTTCCTTCCTTCCTTCCCTCTCAAACATGTTCCTTTATCATTTTATATCATTCCTGCTTTCTCTCATATTCCTTTCCCATCTTTTTTATTTGTCCTTCCTACAACCATTCTAGCAACGCTCTAGCAACGGCAGAAAATACACTCTCTCTCCCATGGGAACGAGGGTGCGCCATCGTCAGCAACGTAGCCCGTTACGTCATCACCTAGATTCTATTTTCAGCATACAATATATTGGGAGCCGGGATAGTGTAGTCGGTATAGCGACTGGCTACATCTAGGATGCACGAAGGGGTCGCACTTCGAGTCACGATAGGTGCAAGACTTTTCTCTTCTCCACAAAGCCCATACCGGCTATGGGGCCCACACNATTGTGCCTGTTTCGCTGGTATTTTCCGCACGATACCATCTGTGTCAGTTAATACCTTGAATGTTTTTGGTATTTATTAGTGCATGTTCCGTCGAAGATGAGGAGAAAACATTTCCTCTCTTAGTCCTTTTTATCATCTTTATCTTCTTCCCTCATTTCTCCTCTGTTACCCTCTCATCCGTATTATTTATCCGTCACATTAACGCTCTTCTACCCCTTCCTTCCTTCCCCCTCAAACCTATTCCTTTATCATTTTCTATCATTCCTGCTTTCTCTCATATTCCTTTCCCACCTTTTTTATTTGTCCTTCCTACAACCATTCTAGCAACGCTCTAGCAACGGCAGAAAATACACTCTCTCTCCCATGGGAACGAGGGTGCGCCATCGTCAGCAACGTAGCCCGTTACGTCATCACCTAGATTCTATTTTCAGCATACAATATATTGGGAGCCGGGATAGTGTAGTCGGTATAGCGACTGGCTACATCTAGGATGCACGAAGGGGTCGCACTTCGAGTCACGATAGGTGCAAGACTTTTCTCTTCTCCACAAAGCCCATACCGGCTATGGGGCCCACACAGCCTCCTATCCAATGGACACTGGGGGCTCTTTTATCCAGAAGTTAAGCGGCCGGCTCGTGAAGCTGACCACTCGTCTCCAACTAGTGCCGAGGTCAAGAAAACGTGGGTTTATACAACCACTTGCCAATACGTCTTCATGGCATAATTCTTAATTAGTTAAGCACACAGACAACTTTGCCTTTATCTTTACCTACAATATACTTTCCGCATGACGTACCCTGGTTGGGGGGAGGGGTAGATGGAATTTAATTTTGATTTTTTCGCGTATCCTAGAAAGAGCACGTTGTGTTTTCGTCGAGTGTGACCAGGAATTGGGCATTATTTGTATGCAGATGAAATACTCAAGTAGAACATTAATCACCTAATTGTGAAAATTATGAAAGAATTTATTTGAATTGTGCTATATAACAACTAGCATTTTCGTTATTCCTGTGAAGTTTATTTGCAGGCAGTCCTATGGAAAGCATTAGTACTTCAGTAAACCCTCGATTTAACGGACAAAATTCCTCGGTACTTCCCCGTTATTCTCCGATTATATTGGGACTTCCCCTTAAGAGTCCAGTTGATATGTCGGGACATCCCCGTTACAGTCCGAGTCATACGTCGGGATTTCCTCGTTGTTCTCCCGTTGACACGTCGGTACTTCCCCCCCACAGACCTTTGATATGTTGGGACTTCTCCGCAACAGTCCAGTTAATATGTCGAAATTTTCCGGTAACATTATGATTGAGATATCGTGTATGTGTACTTCGTGATTCGTGCCGCAAACGTAACGCGTATCTAGTATATAGGTCATTCTATCGTAAATTCAGCTTGTGTTGTTCTGTGTTACAAATAAGTTTCAATTAATATATCGTGAGAAAAAAAAAAGGAAAAGGAAAAACTTGCGTGTAAAGCAAAAGTTATAATTTATTGAAAACTATATTTGGGGATATCCATCACACATATTTGTAAGGAATACGGATATTTTGATTTAACGGACATCCCCGCCCCCCCACTTAGTCCATTAACTGTAGGATATACTGTAATTGTGTATGTATATTTCTTCTCGTTTCAGCCGCTAGTCCAGGCGACGTCTGTTATAGCGACGCCCACTGCCGTCTATGGGACAGCGATACTCATTGTGACTTCTTGATTCCAAATCTGTTCGGTCGTTGTCAGTGCAATCATCCGATGAAACAACGCGGGAAATCTTGTTACCAGTTCAACGGTCCAACAGGCGAAGGATATCCTTCTGCATCAGGGCCCTCATCAATGGATTCACCAAACACATCATCATTTGCATCATCAGAATGGGGTTCATCAGCATCATCAGCGTGGCAACCAGTATCACCATCTTCGACTTCCACTCCATCACCAACAGAACTTATTGTAACGTCACAGAATATCTCGCAAACATTTTCATCAATTACATCATCTTATCCATCAACTTCTTCAACACAGGCAAATGTACCTGCGAAGGGTTCGTCATTGCCAACAAGCGAAACGTCCTCAGATGAAGCGCAGCCAACGCTGCCTTCCGTAATGCCATCGCATACCGAGTACACCTCAGAAATTCCTTCAGGGGAGACACACATAGAAACTACGTCGATGTTAACTTCGCCATCAGCAGTGTCATCAAATGAAGACCTGAATCAATCTTCACAGTCTGTTCAGCAAATACAGACAGCCAAACCAGAAATATCAGAGACAGATACACATTTGTTATCACAGAACTCGGCTCTGGTTACCGAGACGTCGGACGAACCATTTGCGTCCGTGGCAACGACATCACAACAATCCCAGACACAGTTCGAGACACCAGGAACAGTTCCTTCAGGACAGTCAACTGTAATGACTACGTTAAGAGATGACTTCAGTGACTCTTTAACGGAGGTCACTTCCCCGTTACCTATAGCAACATCAACAGGTGAGTCACAGCACACTGTTACGTTAGCAGGGACACAAGTTTGCAAATATGAAAATGATAATTAAGCTGTGATAATATAGGAAATAAAGTGATTAGGTTACTGGGTGGATATCCGGGAAATCAGGGTTTGATTCCCGGCAGAAGAGCGAGATTTTTTACACAGTGTCCAGATAAGCTTTGGGGCTCGCACAGTTTCGTATATTGAGAACTGAGAATCGGCGGCTTTTTCCCAGGGACAAAGAGGCTGGAGCACGAAACTAACCACTTCTGTTCTTTTACAGAACACAGGTTAGACATGCATGGAGCAGAACTTCCGTGGTCCCATACATACTCATGACATGGTGCGTAATTGAACACTGTAGTTACAGTTGACAGGATTCGTTGGGTGTCCCTGAGTTTGAAACTGTCGAAACAAAAATGTCAACCTTGAAGAACGCTTGGGACGTTTGCTTCAGAGCAGCCCATCTACGCGCTTTTTTTTTTTTGTAACTCCCGTATCGAGCCTATGCAGCGTCGAATGACGCCGTGAATGGTGAATATAGAACAGTTTCTGGTTGCATAATATATGCAAATCTCAGTATATCTGAGATATGCGTGGCTCCTTGAGAACTGCTGATTAATGTCCGACTGCCCTCTGTTGTCAAGTCATGTGAACTAGGAGTTCCCATTCAGTTACTGGATTTGAGGATCTCACAGTTTTGGCTGTGAAGAGTGCGGTCTTATGGGCTGCAACACCGTGCGGTTCGAAGGGACATAACGACTCATCTTCGACCTTGAAGATCGAGGCGGTATGTTCTTCCATAATGTAGGGCACTTTCCTAAATATGGCGTTACAACCCAGAAGGCTGCACTCTTCTCCTTCGTACAAATAACACACTTAACTTTACATTGAAGATATGCATAATAGAACGACGTAATACGATTAGCAGAATGTGGTTCTTTTTCTATAACACGATGAACAGGGAAAGTGAAGAACTGTATTTATTTGTCTCTTATCACTAGTATCGTTGACAACAAATAATATAGTAAATGATGACATATCACCGAGCAGGTTAAAAGGTAACATTATTCCTTTAACAGGCCGCGGAAGCCCATAGGGTTGTGAGACGTCGAGGCTGTCACATTTTCTAGACAGCTGTCTCATAAATGGCGGTGAAGTTGTCAGCCATACGCGCCGGCAGCCCTTTACTCCCAGGAAAATTCCTGGTTCTCATTTCTGTTACAGGCTGAGTCGACTCCAGGGCCATAGTGCTGCTGAAAGGATTAGGTCAATTGGAAAATCCAATAACGTCAACAGGAATCGAACCCGCGACCTTCAGGTTTGTAGCATAGTGCCTCAACCAACTATGCTACCGCGTGTCCCCCCCCCCGACTGGGTTAATCTATCGGCAAAGCGCTAGACTTGTATTAAGGAAGTATTTGGTTCGAACATCGTCCGGGACAACAGCAACCCGGAAAAAAGTACACTACATAGTCACTGCGGAGAGAATGTGAAATCCAGGTCAGGGTGTAGTGGCGGACTCCTGTGGACACGGCCGTGAAACTTTGGGTTCCATAAAAATGGAGAAGTTCCTGACAAGTTTCGGCGAGTAAGGCTGACTAGCTCACCACCATCTGTGAGCCGATTTCATGGAAAATGTGGGAGTCTTGACGTCTCGCAACCATGTGGGCCTCCACGGCCTGTTATAGAGATAGCTTTACCTTTACTTTAACAAGCTGAGCAACTCCCGCCACAAGAGGGTCTCAGTTTCAGGTAGTTTATATACTCTGTGTAAGAAACAGCAGCAACACGATTAGAGTATTGGATGCCTGCCTGGATTACTCTGTTCTGGGATATGACTCCGTTTATTCTGACAGTTGTTTACAAACTTTTCGAAGAAACTAGCTGCCATAATCTTCAAGATGGAAGAAGATGAAGGCGGAAGTTCTTCCGAAACGTTGGTAACTACTTACCAGTTTACAGGCATCCCAGAAAATCATAATCCAAATCTTCACTGAATTAAAAATTTCAAAATCTCATTAGTGCGTTTATTTGTGAACTGTGTCTAAAACATGGCTGAGGCTGCGTCACCAACAGATAGTCACCATTGCAGGATCTATTTTCAACAGCCAATGGGAACCAAAAACTTCATACCAGAGATCTCGCGAAGCGCACAGATTCTGTGAAGTTACCTACTCAAGGTATGACTCGCCTTCAGAGGTGGTTTAGACGATGAATATTTTCTTTCGCTTTGTGTGCCTGTGATTTCTCACAGAATTTCGGTCATTTCGCAGTTGTGTGGACAAGAATAAGGGGCGTGGGCGAGGGAGTTGCTGTAACTCTGGGTCTGCCCTGTGTTTCCGATCTACAATGTCAGTCGGCCGACCCCGGTTCAAAGTGCCTGGACGGTGTCTGCGACTGCGTCATCAAGAACAACGGCAGCCATTCCTGCGGGGTCCGTAACACCGGCTGCTTCAAGGGAACCTTCCAGGTCAGTGGGAGATGCTCTCTGTCAACTGACCAATGATCTCCGTATTTCTTGTATTGTGGCCTTCTGATTTATGATTCCCTGTAATCTGGTAGTTGGATACCTTTGGAGGAGCAAACTGCCTGCAATTTCACCAAAACAATTTCTAGACAAAAAAAAAACAAGTTCACGGGAGCACATTCCATCCATCTTCAGTAGGTGGTAACAAACGCTTAGAAGGAAACTTCTGCCTCCGTCTACAGGGATGAATACCAGTACCTTAGAGGAGGTGTCTGCCGTCATCTTCAGCTTCACGACGTTTAGGAAGAACATATGATCTGCAACTGCAGGAAGAGGTTATCATTGTTTCTGAGGGACCTACTGTCTCCCTCTTCACGACATGATTACCGATGTTTTGGAGCAAGCTAAAGCACCTTTCTTCAGGAGATGGTTACAAATATTTTTAAGGAATTCATATTTAGCATGCCGTACCAAAACACAATGTCATAGCTCAGAAAATCACAATATGAAACTTTACCTCAGTGAAAATCTCGAATCTCATCTTAATAATTTGACCTTATTCTTCACTTCCACACTGTATGTTTCAGCACTAATGTGCCATCCTCAGGTGTCTTTATGCACGTTAAACTATTGTACTGCATGCCATGATGTCTTCATTCTAAAATGACTAAAATCTGTATTCGTCATATAGGACGATGAATTCTAAATAATAAAACTTTTCAGGATTCATCCTACGTCGCACTCAAACACTCGAATTACGCCAATCCTCTTTTATGTGAGCATTCTTCCTACATACATTTTGTGTATCGTGTTCTGTGTTGTGTTTTGCTCCTGTTACTGCATGCGTTGTACTGCAGTATACACTGTAAGACGGTTAGCATAAACCATGAACATGAATCAGTGTAACAGGACGCTAAAATATAATATTTTTAATAATTTTATATGGAATGGTAGTGATTAAACTCGCCAAAGTGTCCTGTTTAACAAAAGCCATCCTTTGAGGCAATCCTGACTAATATTTTTGTGCTTTTATAGGCGGTTGTTTGCATAAACATTAATGAAATACAGCAGTCTTTAGGATTATGACAGCTTATGATTTCGTCAATGGTTACGAACGATTCGGAGAAATCACATGCGTCCTGCGCTGATTATTGGGATGTCGGGTTTCTCCGAAATATTGGCAACACTCACGAAACTACCCTGTCTCACCGAGCTAGCTGGTTCAACAGGTGACGCTTCTGACTTCTGTTCAGGAAACGCACGTTTCGAATCTTGGCGGAGACACGACTACACTGGCTCAGATTTCAACGGTTTTACCCAGTTCCTCTAGGAAGAAGTGAGACAGTGTCTCAAGTTAGGTCACAACCTCCTGCTAGTTAAATTTATAGAGTTACTTTATGACTGGAGGTTTACTGCCAATCAGTTCGTCTTGGCGACAAGCCCCATGAGACGCACGACCAGTTCTTTTTTACAACTGAACACTTGCGGTATCATAGTTCTTATGTAACATCCTCTCTGATGACCGGATGGGTCTCTCTTTTACAGTTGCTGCTGGTTCTCGCCAGCACAGTCATTTTCAGGACAGAGCCCCGTGGGACTCATGACCATCTTTTACTGTCTGAGATCCGAGGCTCCCACAGTCTGAGGGCCAGGTCCCTGTATTTATATCCCCCAGGAACATGATGGCCCAGTTATACCCCAGGCACTGGGTTCCATTTCGTCTCCTACGACGCACAGGACTACGGTGGAGGTATTCGACCCAGCCTTCACACGGATCAACCTCCTGTTATCGTTTCCTTTCCAACTTATCATTTTCTAATCACCATACCATCGGAAGCCATATAGAATGAATCACTGATGACATCATTAAATAAACTGTAAATAAATAAATATGTGTCATAATGCAGAAAGCCACAATACTAGTCTTCACTGCCTTGGTAGCGTCGAATCTTATCTGTCTTAAAACAGTCCAAAATCATTCCAAATTCCCCAATCCTATTTATCATTGTTCATCGTTTTTACTGCACACATTTTTATAAAATATCGACACATATCGATTTTTCAGTGTCGATCAACGGGCGTATGCATCAGTTGGTTCTTCGTGTGTGACGGGCGACAGGATTGTCCAGACGGGTCAGACGAGGAATGTAAAGACTCGAAGTCATGTCCCCCACAAGCGTTCCGGTGCGGACAGAAAGGGGGCTGTGTGTCTCGTGCCGGAAGGTGTGACGGCACACCCGACTGTCCGGACGGCGAGGATGAACTCTACTGCAACGCGACGCGTAGCGCCCAAGGTGAGTACGTCCCTCCTGCCTTGATCTTTTGAGCCCCGACTCCTATCTAAACAATATATGGGAATTCAGTTCGTACCTCAGAGGAAACACATTATGTCTCCACTCAACGACCAACCGGTTAATGGTCTTTATGGAAATAACCTCTGTTATTTTCCAGAATCATATGAATAACACAAACAGAGTGTGTGGGCAGAATGCAGAGTTTCTTAAGGTCAGTGCAGGTGGCGTGTACATCAAACACCGTGGTTTAGCCGGTTAATATTGTAGGCCTGCCGCGTATGTGGAGGTGGAAAATGGATACAGCTGTTTAGTTGGATAACCTAAAGAAAAGAATACTTAAAAGACCTAACCAAGAATGGATGTATAATATTAAAATGGAATAAACCTAAATATTTCCCTGTGCTTAATTAATCACCATGACATGTAGACCTGTCAGGAATTGAGATATGTCTCCACTAATTTTTAACCTCGACACAAAATTGAGATAAGCAGTCGGCTTCACTCCCCTGCCGTTTTAGCGCTGAAGAAAGACCCCGCGGTATTCATTAGCTAGAAGGTAGAGTGGGTTCGAAGGCCCATATGGGTGCTGGGGTGAAGAGAAAAATCTTTGGAGCTTCACTATAATCGATCCCCGAATTTCGGTTTGTTTATCTTGAAGCCTGTTCGCTATACTGACAGCTATCATGCTCCCCACTATTAAAACATACTAGATTGAAATGTCAAAATTATTCGGTTTTCGACTTTTTCAACCCTTCGGTATTCTATAAAATAGGAAACACGACGTTTCGTGAAATGGATATGTTTCCGTCCTTAGGTTAATGGGTGGAAGACACCTATTCAGTTGAATCCTTTAGAAATACCTAACCTCATTCGCTGGACCTTCTTAAATTTTGGATACCTTAGAAAGAGCTAACCTCAATCACTGAACGTTTTGTTTTCTATTTTCTAGAATACTGGATGATGGAAAAAGTGTAAACCCCCAGTAATTCTGAGTGTTATATACCATTGTCAGAACTCTTTAGAATCTACCAGACTGAAAAGGCCTGAGATGGAATTTAATGGCGGGTCCTTGTAAACACGGTAATGAAACTCGAGTTCCATAAAAGGCGAGAAATTTTTAACCAGTTGAGCGAAACTCCAGTAAATATCATTTAAAACTTCGGTTTCTCCATTCTACACTTCCTTTGTATCTGAGGGTCAAGTCACTCAAAATAGCTATGGCTCTTCAGCCCTTTCGTCGGACCTTGGACGCTTTTTTCAGTTTCTTGATCCTATACACAGTCGGTAGGACACCTTGGACGGGGGATCAGCCCATCGCAAGGCCTATATATACAAACAGAACAACCCGAACACAGATATCCATGCCTTGAGTGGGTTTCGAACCCACGATTCCAGCGTTCTAGCGAGCAATGATAGCTCATGCCTAGACCGCGTGGCTATTGTGATCGGCAGGTCACTCAAACATCGGCTGTTACAATTGTTACCTCCGGACGGAGGTAATATATATATATGTGTGTGTGTGTGTATGTGTGTGTGTGGAAGTGCGCTGTTAATGATGAACTAAACAATGGTCATCACGATGTTTTATTGTCAGTTGAAGAGGCTGAAGAGGAGTCAGATATATTTTACTTTTTATTTTTGTGGGCAACTTTTGAAGGAAGTATTTCCTCTAGATAGCAGCACGTATGACGTGTTCCATATTGATATTATTAACATAAATGTATGTAGATATCCAGAACTTTTCAAGTCACTGCTGCGGTTAGGTACTTTTCACGAAAACTATCCTTAAATTTTTTACGTTGTAAGTTCAACGGGATTTATGCTAGTGTCTAAGAAAACACGTCAAAACTCCGGTTACGAATATGACCTTGTTTTATTATAAAACGTGAACACGTTCCATGTAGATGAAGGCTGCAGCTAACCGCAAGCCAAACCTTTTCAGGCTGTCCAGACCGTACTTTCCGATGTTCGGACGGACGCTGCCTACCGGAGTACGAGTTCTGCAACGCCATGGTGACTTGTAGAGACGGCAGTGATGAGCCCCGGGACGCCTGCAAGGCGCGCACCAGGAGAAAGACACCCGGATATTGTCCCTTCCGATGTGCCAACGGACGTTGCAGATCTGACGCGATCGCCTGCTCTGGGCGAGACGGCTGTGGCGACGGGTCTGACGAAGCAAAATGCTCCGTTTGCCGTAAGACTCGTTCCTTATTACCGTAAAAATTAAAATACAAGGTGACTCCATATTTTTCCTGAACAAATCTGAATATATTTTGACAGAATTGAATATGTTACAGTAATCCGGATTAAATTGGAGGGGGAGGTTATTCTGATTATGCGATAATCCGGATTAATGAAGCAAAGGATAACCCCAAAAGACAAAATAAATTAGAAAACGAACACATGGACAATTTAATAATATAGATAGTGCTGATGAAAATATTGTCACGTGTTGGGTTTGTCACGCGACAAATAACTTCACGTGGGTCTCGGATTTAGCGAATCTTTATTGGACACTCACACTTACACACCTTACAATTATAATCGCTTGCAGTATCACTTGACTTCTGGGCCAATACTCAATGCGACATCTCAACTATCCCTGGCCGTGTTTGGATCTCAGCTGTCTCTGGCGGCGGCTATCCCAAGATTGTCTCGTTCTCATCTGTGACGTCTCTGGCTCTGCTTATATAGGGGTTATGGGGATAGTGATTTGGTACACTTCAAGTACGCTCTCACTGTGTCTGCAGATGTGGAAAGGAGTTTCTCCAAGTACAAGAATGTGCTGTCGGACAATAGGCGCTCACTGATCTTTGAGAATCTCCACATGTTGACTCTGCCACTCTGAATGGGGTGGCGCTTAAACACTGGAATATATGCCGTATATATACGTATACGTACATTTGATAAGCGTTCCAACGCAGTAGAAAAAATCGTATTAAAACATTTAGCTTCAAATTCAATCATATATTGCTTAATTTTCAACATAAAAACGGGAGGAATTTAAATGGTAACGTTGAGTTCACAGCGTTAATAAATATTAAAAATATATTTTAAAACAATTAGTAGATTTTCCATCACATGATACATTTTTAGGTTGTTCTTTAACTTTTAGATATTTTTTCTGGATTTTTTTGGCAATTTTTCTGAATTTTCGGTCATCTCGATTTTTCGGTCATTTTAAAATATTTTAGGTCGTCAAAATCCGGACCCTGATTACAATTTATTGTCAACTAACTCTTAATATTCACTCATTCACTCACTCACTCATGGAGCTGAGCCCTTCTTGAGAAGCCGCCAATTGTGCAGCTACTGTAGAACTTCCCAGCATTTTATGGAACCCAAAGGTTCATTACTATGTTCACAAGAGCTCTCAGTGGTCCCGATCCTGAGGCAGATAAATCAATGCCATCCCATCCTACCTCTGTAAGGTCCATTTTAATATTGTCCATCCACTTACATTTTGGTCTTCCCAGGGATCTCTTTCCTTCTAGATTTCCCATCAGTCTCCTATATGCATTCCTCCTCATCCACCCATTCGTGCTACATGCCCTGCCCATCTCATCCTCCTTGACTTGTTCATTCTAATTATACTTGGAGAAGAGTACAAATTATGAAGCTCCTCATTGTGCAGTTTTCTCCAACCTCCTGTCACTTCCTCACTCTTCGATACAAATATTCTCAACATCCTCTTCTCAGACACCCTCAGTCTATGTTCCTCCCTTAATGTCAGAGACCAGCTTTCACACCCATACAGAACCACAGGCAAAATTATAATTTTCTATATTCTAATTATTACGTTTTTGGACAGCAGATGAGAAGACAGAATGTTCTGGACTTAATGGTAGCAAGCATTACCCGAGTAACTCTTAATATTGCCTTACCAAAATTGGAGTTAAAGAAATTCAAAATTCTAAAATGAAGACACTCGGCTTTCTTTGGTTGCAGGCAAATGCTGAATTATAAAGTCGCTGATTTCTTTAATATCTTCATTAACATTTATAATGGATGTTCTACAATTCGTTGCTATGATAACCATGAAATTGTGTAATGACAATGATAAATCGCAGGCTTAGAAACAAAACTGTTACATGCAGACCTATTTAGAAGAAAGGAACATAGAATGACATCCACATATACTTAGATACGAACCGAGAACCTTCTAAATAGAAGATTATAGTTTTACAGCTATGCCGACATGTTCGGTTGAGTGATAGGTTGATTAATGAGAGAATTAGTGAGTACTGTGCGTCAATATCAATGACTAATGTATAATGAGATAGAAAGGATCTGGAAGGATGCTGTCATGGTCTAATTTTAGGTACTACCCTAGAATTTTTCTGGCGGGACCATGGATAAACACGATCTCGAATATTATATTTAAGCATCCTGTTGCACTCCACATGATATATGACATAAACACTGTCCCAAGTGCAACAATTTATTGTAGTTCTTTTGTCTTGCCCTCTTCTACCAAAGGGCAGTAAAACAAACACTGAAACAGTGTAATAATATCATAGAGACAAGTGGAAATATACAAACATGAATCCCACAGCCCCAAACCTACACACCACAATAAAACTACTTAAACCTGACACACCCATTAGACCAATAATAAACTGGAAGAACACCCCAGCTTACAAAATAACAAGGAAATTAGCGAAAGTATTACATAATTATCTAAAATTACCAAACACATACAATGTCCAAAATTCCTCCCACTTAATGGGAGATTTACAAACTATTAAACTTAATGAGAATATGCGACTATGTTCCTTTGACATTGAAAACATGTATACAAATATACCGAAAACAAACACTATATTAGAAAAGAACCATGAAATAGATAAAGAAAGCCACAAAGAAATACTACATATGTTAAGAACAGTATTTGAGCAAAATTATTTCCAAATTGACGAAGAATACTACAAACAAACAGATGGACTAGCTATGGGAGCCCCTACATCAGCTATAATAGCGGAAACATATATACAATATATGGAACACACGCAAATATATCCCATTCTAGTAAAACAACAAATAGTGGCCTACTTCAGATATGTCGATGACATATTAATAATATATGATGAAAAAATAACAAACATAGAACATACACTCAAAGAAATCAATGAATTGCAACAAAATATAAAGTTCACCATTGAAAGAGAACAACAAGAATCAATTAACTTTCTAGATATAACAGTATATCGCAATGAAGATAGTTTGCAATTCGTAATATATAGAAAACCCACACAAACAGACATCATAATACCTAACAGTTCGTGCCATCCATTCGAGCACAAATTGTCAGGTATCAATTACCTAATAAATAGACTCTACACATGCCCAATAACAGAAAAAGGAAAACAAATAGAGAAGAACACTATTAAAAACATACTACATAACAACGGATACGACACAAACATAATCAAAAGACCAAATCAGACAAAACGAAAACAAAAATCAAACACACATGATGACGAATAACAACAAAAAACAAAATGGGCTATATTTACATGTAGTACAAAATAAGTAAGAAAAATTACATAACTTTTCAAAGACACACAGATAAAAGTAGCATTCCGCACACGAAACACAATAGAAAATATACTCAAACACAAACCACAATTAGATAAATACAATAAAAGTGGCATATACCAAATGAAATGTGTAGATTGCCCATTGAAATACATTGGGCAAACGGGCAGAACATTTAACACTAGATATAAAGAACATATACATGATATTAGGAATAATGATAGCAATTCCGGGTACTCAAACCACATACTAAATACAGGACATGCATACGGAACAATAACAGAGGTAATGGAAGTTGTAACAACGGGAAAGAAGGGCAGACATTTGAATACATTAGAGAAATACCATATATATAAAATAAGTAAGAAGGGGCTACACATGAATGACACACACATAGAAACACACAATCCCATATTCGAAACGATACACGAAATCTATACAGACTAACGGTACCTCCCTCTCCCCACTACCCATCCCCCCCCTACACTCACCAACATAAAACACACAATACATCAGA